TGGTTGATGGGATTTTAGCATTTTTGGCCAATATTGCAATTGAGAACTCCAGCAGATGGCATGATGTTTGTTAGAAGTGAAGCTGGTCTTGCGACCATGCTCGAAGCTTTTGCGTAGCTCCCTGAAGTTCCATTTCCAGAAGGCGTAAACTCTGCACCATTTAGTAATAAATCCCCGTCCGATCTCCAGTTCCACTTCTTCCATTCTGCAGATCCATCTGGGCTTTCTCGTTTCGTCACCTGAATATAAGGTACGTAAATCAAGACTAAACATGAATGTTGAAGTATTTTGGAGTAAAATGCAGTACAAAATCTTAGTTCTCTGGTATTGTCGTAAGGTGATCAGTAGTAATTAGTAAGTTTCAAGATTGTTACTGAAGTACACGAAGCAAAATATACCTCCTTTGTAGATTCGTCGTCTGATGCAATGAAGACGTTGCCTTGACTATTGATTGTTGGATTAGCACTTCCTCCGATAGCATACATCTCCCAACCAGTGTATACATTGTTTACAATGTGAAAATAGCCATGTCTACACCTACAAGAGTTAACAGAAATCTGTTAGTTGGAATAGAGCTAATGTATTCTGTTAATTACGTTGTTTTAGGAATTTCGAAACTAGCTAGTTACCGTGGAATTCGTTGAACCAGACCTTCTCCGAAGTAATTAAAAGCAATGGTAACTTGCATATTCTTGTCTGCAACAAAATCATCGTTGTGTCCCATGAGCATGACTTCGTTATGTTGAAACATGTAGTTGTTGGAGATGGTTATGGCTGTCGATCCATACACTATGTCAATGAGGCCGTCATGGCATTTGGCTAGCGTACAATGGTCGATCCAAATGTCCCGAGCCCCAAATACTGAAATGCCATCCCCATCTGATATGCCTCTCAATTGATAATGATGCGGGGAGTCCGTCACAACTGCATTCCCTGCCTGTACACAATTGTGTATGTAGATGCCATGAATAATGATATTAGTCACACTTTGTATGGTTATGCATGGTCCATTTGATATTTCAACGTTAAACCCTCTACCATCTATGGTCTTGTATGAGTTCATCATGAGTTCTTCTTTCAGTTTGATGTTCATGTCATGATCAAATATAATCCACAGGGGTTCCTCTTGGATGACTGCGTGTCGGAGCATGCCCAGACTGGGATCCTTTGGATCGTCATCGTCTCTTGTGACAATGTAGTATTCACCATCTCTACCACCAATGGCATTTCGTCCAAAGCCAATCGCGCAATCAGCTAGCACTTTGCGGTTGGATTCCCAATCAGGGTCACACCTCCAGCAATCATCAATGGGATTACCAGTTCTACACGATCCTCCTCCAAGTCCATCAGTCGAGTTCTTGATCATTCTCCTGCAAATCAGAAAAGGTAAGCATAACTTCAATCAGCTTTGGCATAGATTTTACATATACATTGCAAATTTTAATAAAAAAAAGCTAAGCAAGAGAAATTACCATTGGATTGGTCCTGATATACGTGCTATCGGACGTGCAAAGGACAGATGAGCATGTATAAAGAGGGCAAGGTATACAAGACAGACTACTGACATTGTTGCTTAAAGTCCCCAGGTAGCGGAAGGAGAAGGTTGAAGTTTGGTAGTTGGCTCTCTAGACTGTATTATCTATTTATGGAAGATAAATGGTGACATTTGTGCTAAAAAATATGCAATTAGAAATGCAGAATTCTGAATTGAAAGTGATGAAAAGTAGTTGGAATTCAAGACTAACCCTTTGAGTTGCAAAAGCTGTTGAGTCTGGGAGTAACTGGCATTTAATATCTCAATTTAACTGGGCCCAAACTTCATAGTACCACATAGATATAGTGAGGGCTTTACCTACTACTCTTTTGCAATTTAAAAACCTCTAGCCTCTTTGATAGGGCATTATTTTCCATGAAAAATAGAAAACAAATTCTAATTTCCACTTTTACCTTATTTGATACACTTTATTTTCCATGGAAGTTTTTTTCAACATTTGGTTCACATGCTCACCAATTCCTTGGTTTCGTGGAAAACCGATTTTCCATCATTTTTTTTTTAAAACAATTGGAAATTTTTTAGATACAATGTTAAAAAAAATTATCATTTTTATTGACAATTTTCATACAAAACAAAGTCAAACGAATGATATTCAGTATGATAATTTTTTTAAATTTTTTTCTATTTGGCAAGTGAAACAAATTTTAGACTAAATGGTAAATGAAATTATCACTTTAATGGACAATTTACATAAAAAAGAAAGTCAAATGGACGCCAAACTTTCAACATTTTAAACACAATTAATTATAATTCTCAGTAAAACAATTTCTAGGCAATTCAATTTCCTAGAATTCATTTTCTTTCTACTAATTTTTCACCTTTACAATCAAACGGACCCCTAATGTTGCACGTTTGGAGAAAGAAAATTGAGGAGCCCCATATCACAAACTATGCAACCCTGTTTGGCTTAGCTGAAAAAGTTAATAAATACTCAAGTCAAAGTCATCAACTAATTTTAATTATACATTTTATGAAATCCACAATTTTTATTAACTTTTCGACCATACATTTTAACTTTTTATGAAAATCTATTAAAAAATTGATTTTTAGTTACACCGAACATGGGCGAATTATCACTGCATGACATTCAATGAATTACGTCACGTTTGATAAGTTAGATTGTATTGTATTGGAAATAATACGTTCTTTCATATTGGGACGAGGATATTACCGTATAGAATTGTCGTGATACAATTTTAAACATTTGCACTTTGTACTACTAAAATTAATGTTCTTTGTGAACATTAATACTCTGGGGATACACAAGTAATTAAGAGGGATTAGTGATAGATATGCTATAATTTAATTATATGGCATGAAAGCTACTTCTTGGCTTCTATATTGAATGAAAATGTCGGATTTTGAATTATTTTTGAACTCATTATATCAACTTTTTCTTGTTCTTTTCGACTCCCTTATTTTTTTTTTAATTTATTTTTTNTTTTGTGGAAAACCAATTTCCACCATTTGGTGGGAATTGATTTTCTATCATTTTTTTTAAAAAAAACAATTGGAAATTTTTTTAGATACAATGTTAAAAAAAATTATCATTTTTATTGACAATTTTCATACAAAACAAAGTCAAACGAATGATATTCACTATGGTAAATTTTTTTTAAATTTTTTTTTTTTGGGCAAGTGAAACAAATTTTAGACCCAATGGTAAATGAAATTATCACTTTAATGGACAATTTACATGAAAAAGAAAGCCAAACGGACGCCAAACTTTCAACATTTTCCAGGTGGAAGATTATATCAATAAAACACAATTAATTACAATTCCCAGTAAAACAATTTCTAGACAATTCAATTTTCTAGAATTCATTTTCTTTCTGCCCATCTTTCACCTTTGCAATCAAATGGACTCCTAATGTTGCACGTTTGGAGAAAGAAAATTGAGGAGCCCCATATCACAAAATATGCAACCCTGTTTGGCTTAGCTAAAAAAGTTAATAAATACTCAAGTCAAAGTCAACAGCTAATTTTAATTATACATTTTATGAAATCCACAATTTTTATTGACTTTTCGACCATACATTTTAATTTTTTTTATCAAAATCTATTAAAAAACTGATTTTTAGTTACACCGAACATGGGCGAATTATCACTGCATGACATTCAATGAATTATGTCACGTTTGATAAGTTAGATTGTATTGTATTGGAGATAATACGTTCTTTCATATTGGGACGAGGATATTACCGTATAAAATTGTCGTGATACAATTTTAAACATTTGCACTTTGTACTACTAAAATTAATGTTCTTTGTGAACATTAATACTCTGGAGATACACAAGTAATTAAGAGGGACTAGTGATAGATATGCTATAATTTAATTATATGGCATGAAAGCTACTTCTTGGCTTCTATATTGAATGAAAATGTCGGATTTTGAATTATTTTTGAACTCATTATATCCACTTTTTCTTGTTCTTTTCGACTCCCTTATTTTTTTTTAATTTATTTTTTTGCG